CAACAGCAGAATGCTTTGGGGTCTCAGCCCACATAGCCTTCGGGGTGCTCCGGGGCACTGCTCGACCCTGCCGCCTCGTTTCGCCGGTTCCGGGAACCAGGGTTCCGAGAACCGGTTCCGGGAACCAGGGTTCGGGGCAAGGTTCCGGGAACCCAGGGTTCCGGGAACCAGGGTTCGGGGCAAGGTTCCAGGAACCCAAGGTTCCGCAACCAGACTTTCAAGCAAGGTTCTGGGAACAATGGGTTCTGGCTACCTTTTGGGTTCCGGGACGTCAAGGTTCCGGGAAGGTTCCGGGCACACTTGGCTTTCGACAAGGTTCCGGGAACCTTACCATGGTTTCGAGCAGCCAGAGCCTGGATTGTGCCAAAGTTCTGGAATCACCGGAACACCAATTTTGAGACATCCTGCAAACCCAGAGTTTGGGGAACCAGGATTCTGGCAAGATTCCAGCAACACTAGGTTCCGACAAGGTTCCGAGAACCACCACAGATGCGGACCCACAGTTTGGATATACTTCCTGGATTATGCCACAGGTTCCGGACAGGGACAAGGTCAGTGTTCTGGCAAGGTTCCGAGGTTCCGGAAACAACCCAGGGGTCGGATATACGCCGTGGGTTATACCAAGGTTCATACTACGAACAGGGTCCCAGAAAACTAATTTACAAGGAAACCAAGGTTCCAGGACCAAAAGGGCCCGGTCAACGAGTAATCGCTGACAGGGGGGGGACAGCGTGACAATAAATCAGCGCGTCTCGGTTCCGCAAACCCAGGGTTCCAATATACGCTGTGGGTTACGCCAAGGTTCCGGAAACGAGGGTTCCAGGAAAACAAGGTTCCAGGAATACAAGGGATTCCGGAAATCCCCCAGCCAATCTTAGGTGCTTTGTGGCCCCTCACTAAATTCCGAATTCATGTTCGTTTGTTCAGTGGGCGCACAGCGTCGGTCGACTGACCTGTTCTGATGTTGCTGTAAAATCTTCTGTTTGAACTATTCCGATGTCGCATCTACCAAAACACATGCCACATCAAGCAATTAAGTTCGATGCCTTGGAACACCTAAATATTGGCAGCAAACCTGTGTAAGACTTCTCGAAGCCAGATAGATGATTTTTTGAAACTAAGTGACCAAACAGCAACACACAATAAAACTTCAGACACAGTTATAACACAACAACCAAGTATTAACATAAAACTAATTCTAGAATTATGATAGACAATTTGGCCAAAACCAACTGTTTCACCAATTACTTGCGCAAACTGACCGATGTTGTCCAAACACGACAAGATAATCCCAAACCAACACACACACACACACAATTTTGTAAA